ATGTTTTTGAGTATAGTGCAATGGAAAAATTTTTAGTAATATGTTTCATTTTTTTAGGAATTTAATATTAGTTATTTTTAATTTTTTAATTTTTTATTATTGACTTGGTTTCTTATGGCAATAAACAAACTACAAAGTGTCACGAAGGTTAGTTAGAAGAAAAAAAATTTAACTACCTAAAAACATGTTAAGGTTAAAATTACATTTACACAAAAATGATTTTATATGATAACGCCATTCTAATTCCCATAATATCTAATTGTTTTCTACGCAATTTAAATTACCAGTTACTTCAAAATTCAATCCTATTCTCTAYATTATCTTCATATTTTAACCAATGTATCAGCCTGTAACCTTTATCTACCTTTCGTAGATAAATCATAGGCAAAAATTCATTCATAGGGGGCCAGGGGGGGGGGGTAACATTAATGTGAGCTTTGATCCCACACAACTAAAAAACTGTTTGTTTTTGATAAATTCCCTTCATTTCTGCCATAGAGATAAATATAGGTTACACTGGTTGTAACAAATTTGGTATGTAGAATAGGTATAACTAAAACATCTATAAATTCATATTATACCTATTGGAAAAAAATTAAGTATGTAGTATGTACACAATACTTACACTTTACAGGATGATTCACCAAGCACGCTCACCACCATTTTTACTTACTAACAATTTTTTATATTATTAATTTWACTAATTTAAGGTATTTGAAAATGCTTAGCTTTCGACGGACCAGCTTGAAGCTTAATAATATGAGATCAGAGCGATGATTTACTATTTGCTTTATCGTCGTGTGCAGTACACCATTGTACGGTCATAGGCGCAATTAGGAGGCGGGCGGTGGCTGRGGGATCCCCCCTAATATTTTTGTAGCCCCCCTCCTAATAAAGCCATGACTTTTATGCGTAGATWAAAAACTTGGCAGAGGACGACAATGACACAAGAGCGATTTTCAAATTAATCAATAATAAATATTGAAAAGGATCTAACAAATAGTTTGGAGACAAAGACAATTATTGATAAATTTGGCGAAGCTAATAGAAAATTAGTATTTTATTTAATATTAAYTTAATTAAAATATTGTAATATCATAATATCATATGAATTTATTCGTGTATTTATTTATTTGTCAGTAGCCATCCGGTTTATAAGTTTTTGGGGAGGCGGGGGCGAAGCCCCTGTGGGTTAGTGTGACTTATACAATTCCAGCCCCCCCCCAAAAAAAAAATTGATCCTAGTTGCGCCTATGTGTACGGTAGTTGGAAAAAAAATCTCCGGTAGTATTATATTATTTTATAMATTTTATTATAATATGAAAAATAAAATAAATATTGTCGGTATATTATGTTAAAAATTGTTAGGTATTTTATAATAAATTAAATATTACTAAATATATAAATTTATTACATTATACGCATATTGATGTATGCCAAAATGTACCGTCACATATTATATCATTTATTTATTGTAATGACTAGGTAATATTATAATCACATATTATTCACATTACTTTTTAATTTATATTTAATTATTATTATAACCCTCGGTATCGTCACATATTATATTATTTACATTTTAATTTATTTACAATTATTATTATAAGGTTTGGTATCTCGGTAAACTATTTATATTTAATTATTGTTAATATTTTTTGTACATTATTTATTGTATTTTTATGGTATAGCACGTTTTTTAATTTTTTTTTCATAACTGTTTAAAGTTCAAATAATTCTAACAAAATGTATTTACTATTTAATAGAAAATGTACAAATTATTTTATAGTTGAAATATCTTAGAACGACAAACCGTCTTCGCTCAGAATAGTTTTTTGTGTAAAATTATATTATATCATTGAATTAAAATTTGTTACAATTAAAATTGTTGTTTCCATGTATTGAGCCATCTGGTGTTGGTTATATCATTTATGTATCTTTTAGGTCATTTTAGGTGGGTCCAAAGATAGTTTTACACACAGAGCTTGTGACTGCGAGCTATTAGCATGGTTTATCAGCTAGGTAGTTCAWTTCCTTCAATGCCGATGTGCCCGGAGACTCACATGATAGTGATTTGTTTGTTTTTATACAGGGCTTCGTTTAATTTGTTCAGTATTTTTATCGCTATGTCTCCGGGTTTAAACTGATTTTTATTGCTATTAAGGGCACCCAAGGAGTCACTGAATATTATGTGGTTGGGATGTTCGTCATCTAAGGTTATTTTTTTTTTATTATCTCGCGGCAACTAAGGCCATTGGGAAGGAGGTAGTATAGGCAGTAGTAGGGGGTACTGTATAGGTTCTAATGGAACTGTAGGTCGGTTTTACACGTGGGTGAGAGTTTTGGCAGAATTTCTATTGGGGCACCCGTAGGTTTCTGCCATGCCCCGGAGTGGGGGATGGCAGCACTTGTTTTCCGGACACCGTGACTTGCCCGGAGAAAAATGCCGCCCGATGGTCGAGGATCAAACCCGGTCCGGCTGAGCCACAGCCGACGCGGTAGACCATCTAAGGTTAATTTGATCGCCTCGAGTTATTTGATCGCCTCGAGATCGCCTCGGCCTTATATATGGAACAGGTGTTCGGTAGCTTCAATGTTACGTTTTGGTTCCTTAGTATTATTGAAATTCCTACTTGGTCTTGTGTCTTAGATGCGTCTGCAGTGTAGACTTCTAGGTATTCTTTGTAGTTTTCTAATATGCTTATCTGTAAATTTTTAGTGGAGTTTGTTGTTTTAGAAGTGATCTGCGTTTTGTATTTATGTCGAAAGTGGAAGTCCAAGGAGGTGAGGACAATTGTTCTCTAGTCATTGATTGATCCACGATAATGCCGTTATTCACTAGTTCATCGTATAAATCAGAGTTTTCTGATGGCAGTGGTAGGTTATTAGATATATAGGATCTACAGCCATGTATTTAAGCGATATAGGTCGTTCCTTTTAATCTCAGGTATGGGTTCGCCTGCTATATTATATAGGTATGCTATAGATTGGACTGCTGCGGAAAGCGCCAATCGTGARCCTTAGTCCAGCATTATTAGTACTGTTTATCGCATTTAAAATAGATCGAGATGCTGTTTTGTATACATTTTATCCGTAATATATTTTCGATTGAATGATTGACTTGTGAATTTTAATAAGTGTTCTAGAGTCATCTCCCTAGGAAGTGTGAGATAGTGTTTTTAAAATATTTAGTGATTGGTTGGTAGATGTTTTAAGATAGGTAGTGTATGTGGTGGGTTGCTAATATGTGAGTCAGCGGTCGAAGAAAATACCAAGTATTTTGACTGATTCTTTTGTTGAGATTAGAGTGTTATCTAATATGTAACTATTATAGTTCACCGACATTTCTTTTATTTTTGTAAATATGATTATGTTAGATTTTGCTGGTGAGGATTTGAATCTTGTCATGCTGGCCCATTCTGTTAAATTGTCGGTGGTTGTTTGGAGGAGTTTTTGTATTGATCTTATATTATTGCTACGATATGACTAATATTGAAATCATCAGCAAACAGGTCGCATTTTACGGGTGGTGAACAGTTTTTGGTTATGTCATTAATGGATTTATGGATATAAGAAAAAGAGTTACCGATAGCAGTGCTGAACCTTGCGGTACTCCGTTTTCCTGGATGAATTGAATTACAATTTAATACCATTCATTAAAGTAATATAGTGTGAGAGTGATCCACTACGTGTAATACCTATAGCAGAGCGACATCCACTTTCCCGATTTTTATAATTATTTATAAATAGGTAGGTACAACAAGTATAATATTTTATTGAACATTTAAAATATTATAAATTATGAAAGTAATGAGGAAAACGCATTCGGTCCCCATAGCTACCTACGAAGCAAAACTCCGTTTTAGATTTTAATAATTGTAGAAAAGAATCGCTTTCAATCTGATCATCGGCATATAGKTACCTACCTACCAACATCGATCGCTAATCGTCGGCCATCTTTATCCATACTGAACAATATCTTCACTCAGTCACAATTATATTTTTACACAACATTATATAGGTACCTGCAGCCTACCATATCATACAATACATCGTCGAAGGCTGAGCAACTCACGAAAGACAAGGAACCTGCAGTACCCATATAAATATATATATATATATATATATATTTAATTACCTACTGAATAGTATGCCTATATAGCTCCAATAGTCCAATGCAGTAGTCATCAAGTACCTATATTTATACGCCATTATACCTACCTATATAAAATTACATTACAAATAATACCGACATTATATTATTATGTATACAATATTATCGACTAATTTTATTATTATATAACGTTCAAAGTTAACGATAACGTACATATATAGGTACAAGAATTCACCTGTGTGACCTGTACATCAATGGGTTCGACCGGAGTCTGCAGTGTATTTGACGGCAATTGGGTATCATTGACGTGCGATAGCGAACAGTTCGACATCGACAGTGGCCGCGTGCGTTGCCAGTACACGGTGGTCGATTACATGGCCACCGTGGATGGGACCGCGGTGATCGTCGTTCCGGCCGCGTTCCGTTGCGCGTCGCAGATGGTAGCGCACGTCGTATTGCCTGGCGACCGCCGCGGACACGCCGAGGTAACCGTCCGTCGTTGGGCGGTCCGGTGTGCTCGACCATATCGGTTCGCGTACGTCGATGGCCGGCACTACGAAGTAATGGGCGTCAGCGACACATTCACGTTCGTCCACTGCAGTGGTGGACCGTGCAACTGCGACGCCGATTTCCACGTGGAACAGCCGACAGGCGTACTACAAGCCGATGACCATCGTACGGCCGACCACTCGATGAGCGCATTCGTTTCGGCATTGATGAGTACGCGGTCCAGCGCCTGCTCACACTGTCCGGTCTGCAACGTACCGTCCAATCATCGACAAGTGTTAGAGTACTTGACTACAAACATCGATCGGTTGTCCGAAGTTCATTCGAAAATCGACAAGGATCACATCAAGTATTTTCATGAATACATAAAAACACAAATCCGTACACATTTACTGAGTAGCTGCAACTATTATACATTAATCAATTTTATATAGATATACAATGTAAGTTAGCTGGTTACTGGTTAGCAACCATTTGATGGCGTCTTTTATAGGATCTGAACTCTGAACCACCTCTGGGAACTTAAGTTAGTTACAGTGGCGTATTTAGGATTTTTTCTTGAGGGTGGATGACAAGAACTTTAGTTTACAGACCCGACCCAACTGGCAGTTTACTACCAAAAGTGCATCTTTCCCTACATTATTATAACATCAATACTCGTTTCCACTAAATGAATAAAGGCAATAATAAGAATATAATATAATATAAGCTATATATTATTCAATTTCACAATTATTTTTTCATCATTAACTAGTATCCACCTATACCCTATACAAAATTCTACAATTTTAAATTATTATACGTATACCTAATCTGTTGTAGTCAGCAGTGGGTGTCGAGTTGGTATCTGTATAATGGATGTGTTAAATTTGAATCCAATTGTATAAAATTGTACACGAAAAACGATTCTGAACGGATACAATGAGTCARCCTAGGATATTTTATATAACAAATTTTCGTAATATTTTTAATAATATTTTTAATTTTTGATAGATTTTAAAAGTATTGACAATTTTCAATTTGTTATTCAAGAGYACCTACTAACACTACTAACTAACTATATATACATCCAATTTTCTTCTAGAAACTTCCAGCAGAGTTGATGATTAGAATAATCAATAATGTCTTAATTAATTAGATTTAAATGTTATAAAACCGYAGTAGGAACACAAAAAATGAATAAGTGAAGACTATACGTTCTGTTAGCCTATATTTTATTGGTAATTGATAAGSGTATATTATTTTATGATATTATTATTGCCTGTTTTTCCCGGCCCTTTTGAAAACTACTAGGATTTTTTACTATTGATCCCCTAAAGTACCAACTATAGATTCCCTTTCACAGACTTTTAAAAAATAGACATCTATTATTGTAAAATCAATTTATTTTTGTTGAACCATCCAGAATCTAAAAATTTTGTAAAAATTACTTACCTATATCCAAATTTTTTCTTCAATAAAACCTGATATTTTCCGATTCATTTATTTTAAAGAATTACCATGTATGGCACTGTCTGTAGATAAATAGTCATATCGTGCGGACAATGCTATATTGTCTACATCGTGAYGCATTGCTATATCGTTTTTGACTGTTAGGAAATTTTTTTACAATCATTATTTCACCAACAATAAAAAAGTGCATTTATTTTATTAGTTTTTKCACATATAGGATTCGTATAATTTTAATGATTTTTTTTAAAAATGGCGAAAAAAAAAACTCACTCGTCAGTTCACCACTCGATATCTACTTATGTGCCATCGTCCCATTGATGGTATCTTATATTTTAAATAATAAAAACTATTGATATTACCTAGTTATTATTTATTTGATCGAGGCTACAATTTTAAAAATTTATGATGCTGATTAGTGAAGAGCGCGCCCCAGAGACTTACTATGACTTTGGARTTATGTTAAAAAATACTATCATCAACTTTGAGTCACTCGRCAAAATTTCAGCAGGCGCCCTATTATTTTGAAGTTAATACAGTGAAACTTTTTTTAACGGATCTCTCAAAATAACGGACGAAATTTTTGGAACGACAACATTGTATTTCTTCTCTTAATAGCGAACACTTCCAATTAACGGATGAAATTTAAGCGACTGAGAGTGTCCGGTATTTAGAGGTTTCACTATAGTCAATTACTCACTCTTAGAGTATTCGTAACATGATAAAAATGTAAAACAATACACAACATATAAAACATAGCATAAATATTGCATGTTAAATATTATATTATAAAAACCATTGCCAAAATACCAATTGCATTTGGGTTAAACCAATGTTTTTACAGRCAAAAGCGCAGTCTAAACGAATATACTTCGTTATTGGAGTACCAGTATATAAAAACAAAAATGCTGAATCGAGAGATCGAAAACTGCCGACGGTTTGCGGACGATTTAGTATCGAATCTATTGAAAAACCGTAAAGCCATTTTCAAAACAGGCAACCATATGATTTACGTCAAAATGGACGAAACTACCGATAGTGAATCTACATCAAGTGAATATTTTATGAACTCAATTATTAATTCACAAAAACAAACGATTGTGAAGTTGACGTCAATATACAAAGAAATAACCATTATGATGAATACGATGCAATTGTTTGCAAAAGTATTATAATCGTTTACAATTAAAAAATAAATAATTTTTATTATTAAAAATTGTCAATATGTAATACATCATCTTAGTGAATTCGGAATTAATAGTTACTTACGCAGTCTGGCAGTCTTATAACTCTTATTATCATTTATTCATCCTTTCGGTTTATGATATCTTGATATCCTACTTAGTAACCGTTTAATGGGGTTAAGTAACGCGTAATRTTGAAATTGTATTAGGAATAATATCAATAAAAAAAATAACATAACTTACAAGTTATAAGAATTCAAAAAATATGCGTTTAAGGCATTTGCTATTTATATTGTTTACCAAAATCTGTGCTTATAGGATTTGTTAAATTTTTCTGTGCCAATATAAAATTATCCGTTGTTATATAGTTAATGAGAAACCGAGCTATTGTATTATATTTTCATGTCTTAGGATTATGCATTATAATTGAAAAATCTTTGTATTTTAAAATTTTCTAAAAATAAATATTTTCATTATATATTTTTTTCAAACTTATTTAAATCTAATTTAATAAAAGGAATATATATATATACCTATTAAAAAACCAAAACAAAAATGAGAACTATTCATTATACCATTATTTTCTATTTTTCACAGTTCAAAAAATATTTTTGAGACTATGTTGAAAATTAACAAGGTATAGTGCAATTTCGTACCTACTAGAATACGTAGGTACATATCGTACTATATGTCCAGTTTATTAAAAGGCCTAGCAATTCTGTAGGTAATTGATCGTGTATTAATTTTTAAACACATATTTTTTCTTGTAAACCTAATGTACCTATACTTTCTTTGATTATACTATTATATATCCACTAGCTACTTTAGGCCTTAGGGGACTTGTTCAACTTTTGTGAACTGTTTGACCTTTCTATAATATTATCCCGCATGTTTGTAAAAATTCTACAATTTTCTTATTCAACATCATATAGTTTCTGATAGGAAAGTGAATCTAATATAAGGTGCATTCGAGAGGTCAAAGTTGAAAACAAAATGTGCGTAAAATCCTCAGTTTTCCCTTGATTTTTTGTTTCTCTTTTGTTTTTTATGTTTGAAAACTATTGAGAATTACTTTTGATCCCCCAAACTACCAGCTATATTCACTTTCCTTTCAGAAAACATGCAGTTGAAGAAAATCGAAGTCCCGAAAGAGGACAGACACACAAAAAGTGTTATTATATATTATGCAGTTATTATAATTCGGAAAGTTACTGCAACTGTGTATCATTAGTTAGAATTTGATACCGTCGTACAATATAATTGCCTGTGCGGGGTGGTACAACGATGCAGATTATAACTACTGGTATAACTGCAACAGATAAACAGATTTACTGCTCCACAGATTAACGAGACAACTTACGTCTTTGTGTATGGAAGAACCTACACAATAATATTATCTAATCTCTTTACAACATCGTAAGCAGCCTGCTGCAGCTGTACATTGGTTAGTAATCGGTACGATTTAAGATAATAGATACTAAAGTCCGTGGTAAACATCATTTCATATTTTAATTTTTAACCATTAAAATATTATCACACAATTACTCACAAAAAAAAAAAAACAACATTAGGTAATATTAGTTTTGCTATTTGTTATTTGATTGAAAAAAGTTAAAATTGATAAAATATTTAAATAAATACCTTAGATGTACCTGTAATGGTTTAAAATTCCTAAACGCAAATAATGCAACATTATTGAAGTTCCTATTAAAAGTTCTAACTGCGATTATTAATTAAATCGAATACAGATGGCTTCTACTTCAGGTCCATCAGGATCTGAAAATCCCACCGATAACTTGAAAAAAGAACCGTCCAAAGGTATCCTAAAACCTTCAGTCAGTTATGAAGAAAAAGAGTGAGTTAATTTTAGAATAATMTTAAGTCTTTTTAGGTATTTATGTATTTACTATAAATTATAATTCTGTTATTTTATATCTTAGAAAACAGAAAAAAATTGCTAACAAGTCTGCCAAATGGGACGAAATGAATATATTAAAGACTTTACATCCACCGGATAAAGATTATGGACACATGAAAGTGGATGAACCTAAGACACCTTACGAACGAGAAGTTAATGAAGATGATGACGAAATGGACAGCGGCGTAAATGCAGAGGAGTTGAGGAAAAGGTAAATAATGTCACTTTATCTAGTTTGAAATAAATTTTGATTCAGATAAATATTTTAAAATTATATATATATATGTATTTTATAAAGGTTTGTTAAGAATCATACTTACATCAAAATATAATTGTATCATACAACTTAGATTCTTAATCCCTATCTTAATTTATTTGATTAAAGTCTTGCAGTCCCTAGATCACATTGATGTTTAATTTTGATAAATTAATAATAATTTAATTTACTAGAATTGAGGAAGGAGGTAGACGGAAAAGTAGTTCATTCCAATCAGAAGAAGAAGCTGAATCTGAAGATGAATCTCCAGAAGATAAAAGTTTGTTATATTTTATAAAATTGATTAACTGTGTAGTGTATTTCATAATTTGTTCAACTAAGTTATTCAGGAACCAAAATTCTTGACATATTTAATAGTTAAAACTATATAATTTTAGTTACGAGAGAAATTTTTGAACAAAAAAGAAAGGAACATTATAATGAATTCCAGACTGCAAAAATACTGGCCAAGCAAATGATGGATGAAGATGAAGATGAAAATGATGATACTAATAAATCAAATGAAGCTAGTCTGGTATAAAGTACATTTTTCTTGTTGTTTGTTTTATAAAAGCTTATTGCACATTATTGAAGATCAAAAATGTATTGTGATTTATTATGGTATTTCATTGAGGTAACCTTTTGCATATTTGGCGATTTGTTTACTACAAATATAGATTGCTTATTATTTAATAAGTATCATTTAAATCAGTTAAAAAAAAAAAAAAATTGAATCATAAATGATTAAATTTAACATTAAAAATGTTCAGTTTCTTTGAAGCACATAATTGGTTTTTATAAAATAGCTAATACACTATAAACATATTGTCTAACACAATTTATGTAAAATTATATTGCAAATATAACATTCAACATTTTTAAGCAATTGTATTTAAACTATTTATTTAGCTACATTTTGTAGTCATTGGTTTATGAAAGAGACATAAAATATTTCAACAAAAGTTAAGTACTTGTATTTCTTGGATATGTGCTTAAAGAAACAACGGTATTCGCAAAATAAAATAAAATGCTTAATTCTTCAAGTTATTCATTAAACTATAAAATTATGACTAGTTGAGTTTCATATTAAAATCTAAATATTTTGTTGATTTGATATTTCAATTCTGTAAAAAATCATAGCAGTTTTTTATAAATAAATATGGTAATATGTGATAATGTAATATTAACTGTATATTGTTGTATTAATTATACATTAATATCTTTAGTTATTATCTGTGAGATAAATTCTGTGGGAGAACCTGAACAAGTACCTAAGTATATTATAATGTATAATATGTTTGATAAACTACCTRAAAAACTAGGGTTTCATATAAAGGCTGGTTAGGCCTATTCATTGTTTTAGAATTCTGGGTCATTTACCTTCCCAGTCCTCCACTGAGCACCACTGTTAATATAATATAAATTAAAAAATATATTTTTAATTTTCAATCACGAAATAGACAATAGTTAAAATCTTTAGCTAACGATTTATTGAATTATATTTTTAGTACACTAATAAATTATAATAAATTGTTCTCGTGTAAAATAAATAACTTACTCAATTTTTTTAAATGTTTATGTTAACACTTTTTATTGTTAATTACAGTACAATTTACAGCCATATAATTAATTAGGTACAAAAAATTATCAACATTTTAATTTTTTATTGTTGGATTTTGTTAATAATTTTTTGTATACATAAACAGTATTGCATATTAGTTAACTAATTTTTATATTTTAAGAGCCCCTTGTTAAATTTTAAATAATAATTATTACATTTAATCATTTATTTTATACAAATTTGTCATTGAACTTATAATTACTCTTGAAATTTGTCAATACAAATCAGTATGATAATTAAATGTACTGTGACCTTTGTTTTTATACCGGGTTTACATTTGTTGTCTCCATTTTAACAAATGTATACATTTTTTTTTAACACGAGAAAGAACCAAAAAGATTACAGTTATAACTAAGAAATGCAATTTTTACCACATAAAAAAGAGAACTTTGGCTGTGAAATATTGTTTTTGTTATTTTGTTTTCAGGACTACAAAAAAGTGATTCAATAATTCGAAAAACACAAAAATTATGGAGTTTGAAACAGAAAAACTTTTTTTTGTATAAATGATATCAAAAGATATTTCACAGATACTGTTCTCTACTTTATTGTATATAAGTTTGGAAGCTTAACTCTTACTATAATCTTAGGACMTGTTTTACAATCATAGTTTAAACCTCAGTTATGCTTGAACCACTGATTTTACCGACCGAATTCCGTGGTTTAACCGGAGTTCAACTATTGTAATACGGACTCTTAGTGGTTTCAATCCCGTGCTAAACAGTTTTTGCTGTATTGTAGTGTTGTACACATTATAATATACTTAATATGGCTGTACATTTGTAAAAGGGKGACAACACGTGGAGGTGTAGCATCCTCTTAACACATTTATAGACCACATTTACTTTCTATCTACATTGAAACATTTATGTTTATAAATAGAGTTATATGCATCCCAAATTATGAAAACGCCTTAATATTTGACATCGGTTTTCAGTTTAAACAATATCCTTATTATTTGATTAGGTTAATGCTCAACTATAATCTCTATTTATTTTTATTTAAGATTTTATTTGTCTTATGTATATTTTAATTTTTAAAGTATTAAAGATTTGAAAAAATAAAGTTTAATTTACCTATTTATGTCAAGTGTTATATAATTTAAAAACGAGAGACTAAATTGTATATTAGAGACTTATTCTATATAATATAATAAATTCCTATGTAAAAATTATATCATGTAGTATTATTTTCTCTAAAATAAAAATTATAAATTATAAGCTGTTAAAGTGTGTGATATATACATTTATGTGACTTATTTACTAATAACTTTAGTTTAAAAAAAAAATGTTATCTGACCAGTTGGTATGTTAGTTAGGTTCATTTATAATTATTAACTATTATTTTTATCTGCTAGAATATGAATTAATTTAAAAATAATTAATATTTTGAATTAATTTATCAAAAATGTGGATCTTGAATAGATTTAAACTATGTAGATTTAATATATTTTGTTTACAAAATTTATAATCAAATTAAATTATATTTTTAAAAGTMGAAATAAATGCTTACAAATTGTTTTAAGCTAACATAGTAACATGTTAAAGATTCTTTACAGATTCATATTTTATAAAATTTCACACATATTTTTTATGTGTATATTAAAAGTGAATAAATTAAAATATTTTTTAATATAGTGTTATAGTATATTTTATTTTTAGTGAAACAATTGAGTAAAGATTGTTTTAATATATGATTACATAAAAATGTTGTAGTATAGGTAAGTTATAAAAAAGTATTTTAATATGATAATATAATGTACTAGAAGGCTTTAATATAAATGTAAATACTAATCATTGGTATATTTAATWTCATACATTGTTTAGAACCACGATTTTCGACTGTCTTGATAATAAAAATGGTACTTTTTACAATTTTATTTTATTAATTTTTGGTATAGTAAATTTATACTTTTGGTTTTTATTTTTTTTATAAAATAGTAAAATGATATACTCTATTTAATGAGAGAACATGCCAGTTCTGTGCATCCACACATCACTCTGCTATCAAAACTAATTTCTTTATCACAAGATGTTATTAGGAGTTGTGTCTAAACACCAATTTTGTTTGAGATACGGCATGTAGCATGTTCTCTTGTAGAACAGAGTATAGTGTATGTTTAAATTTTTTTCTAAATACCCACACATCAGATGTTCTCAGTTTGTCAATATTTAATTTTGTTTAAGTTTGATTATTATTTTAAATTAGGGATTGAGAATCACTGGACTAGAATGGATAATAAAATATACATTTTTTGTTGTTGGAAAATACAATTAATAAAATAAAACAATAAATCATTGTATTGTTCACAAATTCATATAAGCTAATATATTTGACATTGGTAGTTAATAAATAACTATAGACGCTTCAGTAAATATTATGATTATTATTGTTATTATTATTGTTGTAACTTATAAGTGATCATAACTCAATAGCGTATCCAAGGGGGTGGCTAACGGGATTTAGCCCCCCCCCCCACAAATGGCTAGTCCCCTGTGGGCGCCCCTATCATAACTCATAAGTGATAAGTCATAATAATATTTTAATATAAGTTATATGTACATTATTTTTAGATCTACTTACATCTCTATTATTTTGTTAACTTTGAGTACAAAATTCTAGTCAAAACTAAAAATTGTATAATTAAGTTGTAAATTTGTAAATTTTATATGTATACTATTTCTAGATGTGATACAACAGTAGACACTGATCTTATTTGGATGAACCAAAATAAAAATATTTATATAATTTTAATTGTTATCACCTTTTAAAATGAAAAATGAAAGTAAAATATTGATATTTTAATAAATCAAACTAACATTTTTGAATACTTACCATTTGCTATTTTTAGTCAACATAATATACTGTTATAAAATTGTAGGCTGTGGTTGGATTGGTTTGTTTAAGATAACTTTGAAATMAAAAATCAAATGAAATATTTTATGAGTTATTTTTACCATGAAACATAAAACAGTGAACCAGAATTTTCCTTGATAAAAAAAATTAAATTAATAAAAACTTCTTTTAATAAAAGATTAACGACATTAACGTTGTTTTAAGTTAAAACAACAACCAAATAACAATTGAAGAAGGTTCCAGGTATCTGAATACTAAATTAAATAATAGAACCTAATTAAAAATAATAAAATGTCACTTCTTCAGTAGTATTGCATTGTTTCAAATTACCTTAAATTATGTTTGTTTTTTTTTTTTTTAAGTAACTGTTAATGTAAAATCACTAAAAGAGGTTTTTACAATTAAATGAATATTATTTTTAACTACTATCCAATACAGTGGCGTAATTACGGAGGTGCACAACGGTGCACTTGCAACCCCTGATATTATGTAGCAGGTCGCAGGTGCAAAGATGCTTTTGCACCTGCAGACGCTGAACTTAATACTTATTGAAATACAATACCAACTATATTTCATTGATTTGTTGAATTTTTTTTAAACTTATTTAAAAATGTTGTTATCAATTTTATTAATTTCATATAAATATAATATTTTTCTATGTATAATGTATCATAGTACAGACACAGCACATAAAGTATTTAAAATATAGGTGCCTACAGATTTCAATATTTACTTATGTTATATTGTTATCAAATATAAAAAGATACCTATAGTACACGCGAGCAACGCAATTAGCATTAAATATGAGTAATATGACTTAATTTGTCATTACGATTATTGTACTSATAAAAATTTTGCACCTGCTGACATTTAATGGAATTACACCATTGATCCAATATATGAGAATTAAACAAACATTTAAATTTGATGTTCTTCAGATAAGTCTAGAACACATTTTTTAAAAGTCATTATAAAATGACTACAATTTTAACAGTAAATTATTATACATATATTTTTGTATTTGTTATTAAAATTTTAATTATTTATAATAATAATATTTTGTATCACAAACGCACGACAAAGAATATTTTAATTCAAAAACGGTTTGCTAATTCACTTCTTACTATAAATATAGTTAACATAAATTATAATGATAAAATTAATAAAAATGACTGTTTCAAGTCGCCCAGATTGACAGTACTTAGTAGTCAATAACCAGATAAAACTATTGTAAAATCATGAAGTATTAAAATTTTTATTTCTATCTGTAAATTCAATAACTTAAAACAACTGCTTTCAATTTGACTTGCTATAAATCATTTAAAATGCACCTAATGATTGGATATTTAATTAAGTTAAGGGGACATGATACCCTCATGTATTGTTTCTGTCTCACAAATGCGCAACAGCAATTTTTATGCTCAACAGAACAGATATAATAGCTCTGTTAGTTTAAAATTTAGAGTGAATTGACCTCTTATAAAAATTAAAGGTAACATTATTATCAAGGGCTTCTCATAGGTTTTTTATTATACTTTAATTTTTAAACGAGTTATGAGTATTATAAAATTGTAACTAGTTAATTTAACTTGAAATACTCATAACGTTATCACTCATAACGTTATCACTCATAATCGCTCCGCTCAGAATCTAAAATTGGTTATGGATCCTTGGAATAGTATAGCTACTGTAGTTTGATGCAGGCATTTTTGTTTTTTAAATCAGTTAAGTAGCTTCAAAGATTACCCTGAATAAGCGAACAATTTTTCTTCTTTCTATATTAAATATACATAGATTAAAGACTTTCTTTGCTTATATTAAATCATTTTTTTTTTTTTTTTATTCTTAATATTTATAATAATATGTAAATCAATACAGATATATATTTTTATTTCACAAATTTATTTAAATTACATTTAATAGTGGTAGTTACATAATCAGTAATTTTTTATGAGTAGTTCAACATAAGAAGTCAAATTGGCCACATGAATTTTTTCCTACAAATAAATATAAGAATAAAATAGTTAGTTCTTATCTTTATACATCTTCTTTAAGGCTTTGCTTATAAACCCAAAGGTTAATGTATGCATTAAGCATGTACAAAGTATTCATTAATAATACAAGACAACGGCTCACATTAATATAAAATTACACATAAATAAATTAATACTACCTCGAGTGTGGTTTCAATACTTCGGAGTCCTACAATACCATCTTCTAAAGTAGACTCATTGAGTACAGCTATATAAGGTATGCCTAGACAGTCAGAATCTGTGAACTGCGATTCGAGAGACTTTTTCGCCATGTTTGGAGTTATTAAGGTAGACACCCCAGATTTTTTTAAATTAAGTCCCAAGTACACAGAAAGTTGCCTCAGTTCGTCAGCTTTTTTGGCATCTAAAAATGATTTAAATCAATCCGTTAAAAATAAATCGATGATTTCACACTTGACTATTGTGCCTGACTTAATAGCGGAGCCGCAAATGTTATTTTATATGGAGCCAATTTACGATGGAACCGGAAAACTTCCCTGCGATCATTATGATAAGGCAATTCTGTATATCCATCACACAGAAACACCATACACGCTTTCTCAAGACTAGTTTCACTTTCCACTATGTGAGGCAAGACTTTTCTTTTTCCTACTCTTGACTATTTATTTTATTGAAACAAACAAAATTAATTATTTATAATATTGGAAGATTATTATTTATTATTGGCATTTACTACTCACTAAAAATATTTCTTGTTCTGCTGGCTCGAGACTATCAAACATTTTAGTGCTTACGTTACGTATGGTTTCAATTGTCTCCTGTCCCCATTCAAATTCAGCTCGGATTTCCGTGCTCTCTTGCCCATTATCATCAGTCGATATTTCGGTCAATGAAAATCTACCGGGATTGGCAGAGAACTACGAAATACGAATAATTTACATCATAAATATCAGTCTGTCAAGTTTTTATTTCATATTACTTTTCTCCACCAAATTTTGCGTTGTCTTTGCCAGTGATAAAAAAATTGTTGACCTTCTTCTGGTATACAAAATGCAAAATACTTAAATCTTGTAAAATTCTTTGGGCTACATTAGGAAAAATAAGAGGTCATGTAAAAAAAAAATTTTGTATAGTAGCTTTATATAAATGCTTTGATATGTTATTTGGATATGTTTGATGATGTTTATGTAAGTATATCTCCAGGGAAATATTTTAATACATCTCATTGTTTAGTTAGCGTTGTTTTCCTACTTCCTTTCATTTTCCATAACTTAAATTCTTCTTATGTTATTTCATTTACATCATATTTATAGAACTCACGGGCTTGTTCAAACATCATTAAATTAATGTATTAATTAGCTCTATGGTCTTGATTTTCCACTATTCACAGAACTGTAGAAAACACACACATACACATTAGCTAAATTACTTGAGCAAATTGTATATTCTAAAGATAAATGCAACTTAAACCAAATTTTTATCACTATAACCAATACGGCTTAAGACTCAGTAAGTTAACCGTTCCTGTAGTAACATTGGATTCACAATTATATCTGAGACACAAATATGTTGACTATGTAGTCTACATGGATTTAAAAAAAAAACATTTAATACTGTAAACCATGGCTTTCTAAGTCATTGGGTAATGGGTATCAAAAACTGTCTCAATAAGTTCCATCCGGTGTACTGAAATTTGATCATTTTAATCTCTTAATTTTCATTGTAATTGTCAATTAAATCTAAAAATGGCTAGTTTTCTCTATGCTAATGACATAAAAATAAATGTATAAATATTTGCACTCCTAATAGCTGTTATAAAATTCAAGCTGAACAAGATATCTTCTCTACTTGGGTGAAAAGTGTTGGTCTTCAACCAAATATTAACAAATGCCAAATAGGCTTTTTTTTGACAACATATCTACATATCTAACATATCTCACACTACTTCCTCATTCAACGATATTCTTCTGGAACATTTAACCTAATTTTTATATATAGGCAACCATTTTACTGCAACCTTGAATTTCAACAACCATATAATTATTRATTGTCACAGTTAATAATGTTCCTAAAATTCTTCGCTTCGATACATCACGCACACATATCACAGWCTTTCAATTCTATAGTTAGYATTTGTACTTTTTATTTCATATTAGTTCACTTAAAACTAGAATACAGCATATTTTGGGATCCTTATCTTGTTAAGAGCAAATATTAAGACTTGAGTGGGTACAAAATCTACTCCTTTCTTACTCAGCCGTTTTCAACATTGAGCACACTCACCATGATTAATTCCTCATATAATTTCACATTCCAATACAGGTTTAACATTAAGATAATAACCAGTAGGTAATATAGTCATGTTAAGATGACTTTTATAACTTTACAGATATCATGACATTACCACAACGGCATTTTTCGGTGATAAATTTATAATATCATTATCAGGGCTCGAGACTTCTAGCACTAAAAAACCTTAAAATATGCACTATAATATGCTTTAAAAAATGATAAAATATGATAAAATATGCACTATAATATGCCCAATAAAAAAATTTAATATGCTAAAAAAAAATTATTTTCATTAATTCTAATAATATTTATTTTTAATCTAATTGATAATTCTAAAAAATAATTGGCGTCCGCACTGAAGTCATTTTGTAACTGTGGCTTTATACGTTTTAACATTTTACTTTTGTAAATTAGGAATTTAGCCACTCACTAAGTATAAACCACAAAATTACTTCATTTTTTTCAAATTAACAAATTATATGCAAAAAATAGCACAATACTTATAAAAATAGCAGAAAAAATGCAAAAACCCTAAAATATGCACTAAAAACTTTTAAAGCTGCATTTGTTTTAGTATGAAACGGATTTGTAGCTTACTCTGCTATATTTTAACATATTATAAATAAATATGCAATTGCTAGAAGTCTCGAGCCCTGATTATTATAGTATATGGTACCTAAAATTAAAATCATTAATTTTGTATATTAGCATGGCTTCGCTATTTCACCATTTTATCAGATGACTATAAAAATGGTAGATGCCAGATGATGGTATTACTTTTATATTATAATCTAAACAGTAAACAGTAAATACATATTTAAGACAACAAAATTGTAATCCTATGTCTATGCCCTATACTAGCCTATCATTTAGTTTCTGTAATCATATTTCATATTTATTTTTTGTTTTTAAAATTTTTTTTTCAATCTGTAACAAAAAAGAACAACTGAGGAAGTAATATGTAATAAAAAAAATAAAAATGACAAATTAAACAGAGTGTAGAAGCCTCCCGTGGAGACACTATAAAAGACATGAGTATTACAATTGAATATTAGTATGTCAATAGATTTCTATACCATTTGAGCTTGAGACATTAGGGAGGATTTCCATGGATAGTCAAGGAAGAGATATCGTGCATGAGTGAGTTTCTGTGATTTAAAAGGCAGTTATTGAATCTTTTTAGTGTGTTTTAACCACGTCTGCAACAAAGGGTACGGAGAGGTTGTGCTTTAGTGATTTTTAGAGTTTTGGATTGATAAGTTTGTATTCTATTGACGTTAATAGGTTTTAGTGATCCCCAGAGCTGTAAACCATAGACCCATATTKGTTTAAGTAGCATTTTGCATACAAGGAGCTTGTTGTTCAGATGAATATATTTAGAGGTCAATAAGTGTCGGAGCTGGAGCACATATTTAAGTATGAAATTATTATAATTTTATTAATTTTTACTTAAAAAGTATTTTAACGGTTTCTAAGGGTTTAGATATCTTATATATTACCTAAAACATTTTCTATCTCCAACTCTAGAATCCATTAAATCTGGTTGTTCACAGAGACTTCTTGAATCAGCGAAACCGAATGGTAGTTGATTATTGGAAAACTGTTTAGCATTCATAAACGGATCTTTAAGACCTTGGATAAAACCAACGTAGTAGTAGTAATAATAATAATAATAATAAAAATAATAATAAAAATAATAATAATAATAATAATACAATTTTATTGTTACCTCAAATATTTAATGGTTATTAATTTTTTTTTTTTTTTTATCTTGAAAGATATATTATTATAATTATTAGATATAGGTTAGTAAAATACATTAATCTTACTTATAATATCATTGAAATGTTTTTCCCAGACGTTACAAAATTGAAATACACTTTCATCTCTACTAGTAACATTGCTATACAACCATTCACTTCTGATATTTTGACATAGTAGTTCACCTGTAGAACCATATTTTAAATGGTCAACAGTATTATTTATGACTATAGGTTCCATATATGCATAAGCTTTGCACATAGACAATATTCTGTTTAATAGGCTCATTTGTAGTCTTAAAATTGAATAAGTAATTTAAATAAAATATAATAATAATTTAATTAAAAATATAACTATGAGTCGATGAATAACTGTTTATAAAAAATTATTATTTTTATTAGACTTGATTTGTGGGAGCAACAAAATAATCTTCTTCCACAACTAATGCATTACACATAATTTCTCTCCTTGTGATTTTGTCTGATGATAGATCTTTTCTCAAACCAGTGTTCCTGAAAATTATTATTACTTTTGAATAAAATTTGGACTAAATTTTTAAAAAACTTATAAAGTTAAATCATAGGTATATTTCAAAAATCTATCAACATATTTTAATCTTTTATAAGAATTAATGAATAAATGAAAGGAAACTCTAAGTATATTTAATTAAACAAATTTTTACTTTAAAATAAAAATAGTGAAAAACTAAGATATAAAGATATATATTTTGTCTTTTATCTAAGGTTAATGATATATTAAACAATGAATAAGTAATATAAATGTAGTATATTTTATTATTATAAAGTGTTAACCACGTCATGCATAGTAATATAAAATATTATTACATAAATATCACTATTATAATTAGTTTAACTTCAATGAACAGATATAATTTTAATTCACTTGATGATTTATGTGTACAAAGAAAAGATACATTTTAACAAAATATTATACATTTGTAAAAGAAATAATACAATTAGTTTTCCATAAAATTATAAAGATGGTGGAACTAATTAATAATTTAAATTTTAACTTGGATAAAATACTTAAAATCTAAAAATAATATAAAATAACATTAAAACTGTTTCTAGTATGGACATGTATTGGCATTACATTTTTATTACATAATTACTGTTACAGGATTATAATATATTAAATCCAAAGAAAATATTTGACTTATTTATCTTGACATACCAGATCGGTTTAAAATATTATTTTCAGTTGATGTTTGATTTATATTAAACTTAATGTGGTTTGGTTGGCTTCTTAAGTTTGGATCAGGCCGATGTTTTAAATTTGGTAATATACCTGAAAAAGGAGCACGATGATGTGATGCTAGGTGCCTCTTATGGTGATTAAAAGTTCTATGTTGAAAACTTCTGAACTGATTTTGTATGGGTTCAACATTTTTATGGTGGTCAGATTTATCAAATTTGGAAATTTTTAATCGAGCATTTGAATATGTTGAATTATTTAGGGTTTCTTCAGTACTTGTTGATTGTTTTCTTTTATTTGTAGGTGTGTTTGATTGTTTGGCACTGTTATGTGTATGCATTCTAGAACAATGACTTTCATTAGGAACTTGTGACTCTTTGGGTTGGATATTTTTTGTAGAACCAGAAAACTCGCTTATTTTTTTATTTTCCGCTATAAGCTCATCAGTATTCAGTAACTTTGAAAGTGGTTTTGGTCTAATCAAACTTTTAGTTGGCAATTGCTTGTTTTTAAATGATGACCAAATATGTTTACGTTCTTCAATGGTTAATTGCTCTTCGACAGACTCAACAAGCATAGAATCATGTTCTTTAAAATCACTGATCAATTCAAAATTGTATCTGATTAGATGGTTTAGTACAGGATCCTTTGTATTAGGAAGTAGATGATAATAATTTTTTGTCGAATCAAATGAAAATAAGTCATTAGTTTGATCATATGATACTTTTCGACTTATATGTTGTAAATCTACAACACTGCTGGCCATTCCTAATTTAGAAATTTGACGATAATATGCTTTTGGTTCTACAGTTCCTTTTGCTAATAATCTGTTAACAAAAACAGTTTTTTTTTGACCAAACCGTAAACATCTATAGATGGCTTGTAAATCATTACTTGGATTCCATGATGTACTGAGTAGCAATACTCTATTAGCACCAACCATATTATATCCAAGGACACCAGTACCCATGGATAAAAGAAAAGCTTTAGCAGTATTTTCAGGGTTATTAAAAGCTTCACACATTTGATTTCGTATAGATAGAGGTGTTTTACCATCCATTCTAAGATAATCTTCTCCTAATACCCATTTCTTCTCTTGTTTTAAAAAATATTCCAAAGCATCTAAAGCTAATGGTGATTTTAAAAAACAAAGTACTTTTTCATTTCGTTTAGAACATTCGTGAATTGTATTTAAAACATATGTGATTTTATTGCTTTGTTTAGCATCAAAAAATCTTGGATCTTCTCCATAACTATCAATCCATGACAAGTCCTTTGATAATTTTTCATCAACTGCAGTCCCTAATTCACGTTGTTTGCTATTTTTAAAATTTTTCAATCTATACAATGTTATTGGATGTAATGTTATTAATGTTAACACATGTAAGCATAAAAATACATTAAAACCATCATTAGATGTTTTGTTATAATGCAAGAATTTCTCATATAGTTCACATTGGAACTTAGTTAAATTAACCTCAATTGTGTATTCTATTTTGTTTGTAAACAAAGGTTTTAGGTTCTTATCATCAATTCGATGGACAGTATTTTGTAAGAGTTTATGTAAAATGAATGTACGTTGTTTCATTATTTTAACATCCTCATCATGAGAGTCTATAAATTGGCCAGCATCAATTGGTTTGATAAATGTTGTAACAAAATCTGTAAGATTTCCCAATATATTAGGTTTGACAAACTCCACTAATGTATGATATTCTTTAAGAGAATTTTGCATAGGAGTTCCTGTTAATACTATTCTTCTTTTTGTTCTGATTTGTGTTAAACTTTTTAATAGTATAGTTTGGGTGTTTTTAATATAGTGCCCTTCATCCAGAATAACTACATCTGGCCCAGGATCAACTAAAGTATGATAGAATGCTTCTTGTAAATCACTTTGTTTACAATTCACTAAACTCTTAAAGTTCTCATAACTAAGAATAAGAATCCCGCCTTTAGATTTCCATGTCGCTATGTTTGTTATATTGTATAATTTCTGAGTTTTAGGCAGATCATAAATTTTGACAATTTCATCTATGTCAATATTTTTTAACCACTTATATATTTCATCCATCCAATTATAAATCAATCCAGGTGGACAAATAATTAAAAATGTTTTTATATTAATTTGTGTATGGCATAATATAGTATATATTAAAGTTATAATTTGCAAAGTTTTACCGATGCCCATTCGGTGGGCTAAAATACACCCGGTCCCTTCAGTGGTATTTGTTTTTTCCACAGTTTCAAAAACTGTATTCCATACAAAATGAATACCTTCCACCTGATGTATTTTCAAGACTTTAGCTAATTCTTTTCTAATCTTTACTATTGGTGTTTTTTTAACAGTATCGAATTCTAATACTATATCATGAGGCTTTAAATGTAATTCTTTAACTATACTCAACGTTTCATTATTTCGAATAATCTGCCGTCTTCTTAAATTAAAGTCAGCTTTTCTTGCTTCATCTACAGCTTCATTAGAAACCTTTGGTTTAACCTTCCTGATTTTTGGTGTAGGTGTTTTCAGTTGTGATTTAGATTTTGGAATAATATCTTGACTTTGTTTAGAAGGCGAAATTATATCTTGGTTAGAATTATCATTGTCAAACATACCTTTAATGTCTGATCCTATTACATAGCTTATTATGTCTTCATTTTTTATAGGTTTACTTTCTGTTGTATTTTGTTTCTTGCAGCCATTACAATCATCCAATTCTTCATACTCATCATCTGATGACAATATTATAGTGTATTGGCCACCAAATATGTTTGTCATGAGTTTGTCACATTTATTTTCAGTTTTTATTGTTTGATTTAAACAATTATCACTTGATGCTTGTGAACTTGAAACTATAGTGTCTTCTGATACTATAGGTATATGGGGACAACTAGATATTAGACTACCTGTAACTTCTTGACTGTCATTTTTAATAGTAGGTAATGGTCTAAAATTATGTGCAAAATTTAAGAATGYAGATTCATTTACATCTAATTGCTCTACAACATGAGTTAAATTAATTGCAGTACTTTGGATTAATCCTTTAATTTTATTATTAAGATTAATATTTTCCATAATATTTTTTAGGTCAACATCATGTTTTTGCAATTCTTCCAACTTGGAAAATAGCATTTTTATAATATTAAAAACATCAGTTAATGTATGTTTATACTTGTTAGAATATAAAATATATTCAAATGTTTGATTTAGTTCTGGGTATTTTGTCATCAACTCAAGTATAATATCATTATTAGTTGCACTATTTTTACCAACTTGTTTATTAATTAATTTTGATTTATTCTTTGACATATTTTGACATTTATTTTTTTGTACTTTTGCTTTGTGCATCTTAGTGTTTTTGCTAGTTTTTGACATATTTGAATCCAGGATCTACATTAAAAAAAAATTATCTAATAAGAATATTAATAATTGGTGAATAAATCATAAGTACTAACTAAATTTATTTAAATTGTTTAAACTCTTCCTTTTACTGGAAGAACTTCATTACTTAAAATGACTTAATAATTAACTCTACAAATATAGCTTATTTTAATGTAATAAAAAAAAATAAACAAAATACTCATAATCTTGAATAGAGCGCGCTATATTTATAATTGTTAAGCTTAACATACCAAATGTATATAGATCATTTTATAATTAGTATTATTAGTGTTAAAAGAAAATACTAGTCAATTGATCTTTTACAATTACAATACAATTCAAAGGTTACAGAAATAGTTAAAGAATTGTTTTCAATATTTTTACATACAAATCAGTTGTTAGCAAAATATAATAAAACAAATAGTAAAAATAGTGTTATATAAAAAATATTTATGTAACCTTACTTTTCTTTGAGTATGGAAAACAAAATTTACTTTACGTCTTCTTAGATTTTCTCAGGAAATTGATTAGGTGTGTTACGAGGGACTTTTATTAAAGTTGAAAAAAAAAATGTTCTTCCTCCATATTATTATCACCATAAAATACTCTACACTTGGCTGGAATCCTTATGGTAGTGACATTGCACTTTGTCTACATTTAATTTTTGCCCACGATATCACATTTTATAACCATTGGTATATTGTATCCAATATATATTGTAATCAATGACACAACCTTAAAAGCTTCTAATAAAGACTTAATATCTGTTATTAAATTCACTCAAATTAAAATGTTGGAAGCAGAAATCCAGAAATTAAGTATTTTGTAATAATAGTGAATACTAAATTTAAGTTTTGAAATTTTATTAAAAATGAGATTAGAAAAAATAATTTAAAGTGATTCACCTAGGCATGCTAACCTATTCTATCTTTAATAAAACAGTTGTTCAAAAACTGATTTTTAATTTCCCTAATTACTTAGACTATATTTACAAATTTTTGAAATGTTTTGAATTACTTAAGGGGTGTCTTATGGACACAAATAGATGCATATATCTGTTTTTCATAATATGTTAATTCCCCTTTATACTCTAAATCAGGGGTTACTGGTTACCAATTAATATTTTTGGAGACCCAAATAAGGAATCTTGAATATATTTGTGGGCCATCAAAATTGCAGAGGTTGGTAAAAACCAATGAATAAAAATGATAAATTACAGTACCAAAACGTATATTATTGAGTTATACTTTTTTCTTTTGTTTGCGGCTCAAATAAAATGTGTCCACGGGCCRGGACCCCTGCTCTAAATTATTTATTGAATAATTTTTCTGAAAATTATGACATGCCAGAATCAAAATTCATACAAGTAGTTTCTGATATATACATTGTATACTAAGAATAAAAGGTCACTTGACAAGATCCAAATACTAACACAAAGGGTATAAAAATACAAACATCAAAAACTTACAAGTACATAGTAACAAAAACAGCATACATAAAAACACGAAAACAGTAATAAATTTAATTTTAACTTATGACTTGTCGGGGG